GCTTTGTTTATCGAATCAACTGCAAGTAAGTGTAATAGGAATGGTTCATCACCTGTCCACACAGATATCTGGAAAATTCTACTACCACGATGACGACAAATAGGAGAGAACAAAGAAACTATGAAACTCAAGTTTCGAAGTCGTGTGATTATAATTGATGAAATGATTATGAACAATAGATAAATTGTGTTCGAAACTGTCATCCAGTAAATAATACTGTTTCACTGACTGCGTGAGACACGTAATAAACAAACCAATATGGAATTACAACCACATTGTCCAAGTTTTACACTTGTATTTGTGATAAATTCTTGATAGGCAACAAATATTCGCACCAAAATATTACACTGATTTATTAATGTTACTACTTATTGAAATATAAGTAGTTAGAAAAAGGGATAGGGCAATTACCTTAGGCACTTGACTTTCACACAATGAGTTCCAAGTTCAAATCCAACCCCGCCTCCTTCAGTCTGAACAAATAATTAGTTTCATCAACCTTCACATAATTAATATGTCTTTTAGTATGGTAAATGAGAAATTTATTCAGGGTACTCAAGCTGTGGATTCCACTGCTAGTCACCATCCACCAATTAACCTCTAATTACATGCCCATACATCGCCAAAGCATCTGCACAAGAAGCCGACATGTCAACCTGAGACCGATCACTTCTGTCCAATCAATCGACGGGAATGTCTAAAATTCAATTAAATAATTTAATATGATCTGTTGCACAAGAGGTGGTGACTCTCGTGGCCCAAGTGGTCTAGTGGATAACCCTTCTGGCGTTTGGAATTATGGGCACTGGGTTCGAGCCTCGGTGGGAATATCATCACTCACTCAATGGGGAATGCAGTGACGAGTCTCAAGTAGGACGAAATGCGCGTTGTCCTGGATTCCACTGCTAGTTATCATCCATCAGTTAACTTGAGCTCTAATTTAGTAGCTGGACAGTGGGGAATTTTCAGCATGGAGTACAGTACCGCAACTAATATTCTCATTACAGGAGTTGATAATTAAAACAGGACACATAGACTGATAAAGAAGAAAAAGCATAAAATTGTCTGTTTGCTTAGTATTTCTTAGTTAGTTACTAATGTCAGACCATACACACTTTTCTCATCATATAAAATATGTCCTGGCCAAATATTCATTCGTCTGAGTATAGAGTCTTCTAGTTCTACCTACCTGATGAGATGCAAGAAGGGATGATTTGTGTGTAGAGAAGATTCTCAGGGTTAGAGAAGATAATATCGGCTAATTTCTTGCAAGAGTTGATGTTTCTATCTACAGTTACAGCATCAACGAGTTGTTTTTGGCGACACCCCACTCACTCTACTGACAGCCTTCAGTGCTCTACGTAATTTGACATAATCTTTCTTGAGAAGGTCAAGAAAGATTAAAAGGGAGCAATAAAGAAGAATAAGTAGAATGCTGCAAGACATTGGCTGAACGATACCAGATTGACTGAACTTCCTTACGTGTAGAATGTTACACGATATACCTTTTCTGGAGACTAACATGATGAGCAAAGACCAGGAAAGATCAGAGGAAATAGGCAGTCCAAGGTATTTCACAGTCGATTCAGTTTCAACTCCCGTGTCATTTGTGAAAGTAGAATCATGAATACTAGCCAGTCCATATAAGTTGAGCTTGGGTCTGAAAGTGAAATTAACCACCTGACTGATATTTAGAGGGGTTTAGCTTAAGACCATTTGACAAGGATCATTGAATAATTTCTCATAAAAGGTTATTCATTTTGGAATGATCTGACTGAGAAGTAACCTCCAGCATAGAAACAGTCAGATCATCGGTATACTTAACAAAGTTGGCTGCATCAGAATAAGGCAAGTAGGTCATGTAGGAAGAAATAAAACGGAAAAGGAGGAAGAACAGCACCTTGAGGAACACCAGCGAGAGTAAGTGCAGCTGTGGAGGGTTTCCCATTGTAAATAGTATACTGTTTCTCTTTTTGCGAGTTGATCACGGATTGATACGAGTTAGAGAACCATTGAAAACAACCAGGGAGTACTGCCAGACAGCTGTTTCATCCTAGTTTGAGAATCATCAGCAGTACGCACCCACTGCCAGGGTTCGAGGCCAGGACCTTCCGGTTACAAGGCAAGCTCGTATACCATTCAGCCACTGGGACCCGAATCAATGGCTCATGAGTTCTAACTCTCAGTGGCTGAATGGTATACGAGCTTGCCTTGTTGGCTGGATTCAACATAGAACTTGGCACCAAAGTACAGCAGTTCGAGTTCCCACGTTCCAAACAGCACACAAAGGTAGACAAGAAAATGAGTGAAGAGAATCAATAGAGTTTTGACAAGTATAAGAGTGAAACAGAATGAGTAACGGTAGAAAGGAATATGAAAGATTACAGAGACTGAATACATCTGCGTAAGCCATTGACAACGATTTTGAGCCATGTCACCTATTGTCTCAAGCCATTGATTCTTAGAGTCCCGAGGGCCCCAACCCGGAAGTCTGCATCTCCCTACCTGACTCAGTTTGACTGTCAAGGACTTCATGGATTGATGCCATGTTTTTGTTTGGCCACCACTTACTCTTTCCCAACCTGCACCTATACCAGCTTGTAATGCTCGTCGGGGGATGCGATGGTTAGGCATGCGCAGCACGTGACCTAGCCATCTCAATCTATGTGACTTTATAGCCTCTTCGATTGATTTTCCCTCTTTGCCCAACACTCTACGCCTAACGTCAACATTACTTACTTTATTATACCACCTAACGCGAGAAAGAGATCGTAAACATCTGTGGTCAAAAACAGACAATCTCTTCATGTCTTCCGCTCTCAATGGCCACGTCTCACCACCATAGAGAAGGACGGAGCGAACTGATGAGCAGTATACACGTCCCTTGGTTGACAGCCGGATGTCACGCCTACGCCAGAGTTGGTGTAAGTTAGCGAAAGCCGCCCGAGCTTTTTCGATCCGTGCTGAGATTTCGTCACCAATCAATCCCTTGGTGCTGATACAACTTCCCAAATAGGTGAAGTGGTCAACATGTTCTATCACTTCACTCCCTATCACTAAGCTAGGAGTTGACGTAGTCCAGTCCTGTAGCAGCATCTTACATTTTACAGGGGCGAATCGCATGCCAAACATACGAAGATTGCTGACTCTGCATTTTGTCAGCATCCTCCCCTAACAGGACTATGTCGTCTGCATATTCTAAGTCCATAAGACTATTCCCTGGTAACAAGTCGATTCCTAAGTTGTTAAGTTCAGTTAAGGATACTTCCATTAGCATATCTATGATGGAGTTGAATAGAAAAGGGGAAAGTGGACATCCCTGACGGACACCACTGGTTGTTATCAATTCAGATGACAATTCCCCATAAGCCCTTACACAGCTACGTGAGTTTGAGTAGAGTGCCTTGATTAGTGCAATGTACTTTCTTGGCACTCCCTTCACAGTCAAACATTGCCGTAGTACCTCTGGATCCACGGAGTCGAAGGTCGCCTTCAAGTCAAGAAATATGGCAATTGTTGGACGCCAAAAAGTGTGTCTATGTTCTAGGATCTGTCGGAGAGTGAAGATATGATCTATGCACCCTCTACCTGGCCTAAAGCCTGCTTGATTTTCCCTCTTTTGCTCCTCCCGAGTTCTGCTCAGTCTGTGCATGATTACTGAGCCTAGGATTTTAGAGACTATGTCCATCAGGCTGATCCCCCTATGATTATCACATGAGAACTTGTCTCCCCTGTTGAATATTGGTATAATAAGTGAATTACCCCAGTCTGATGGAACCGTCTCTGATTCCCAGACGTTACCTAGTACCTTAGTTAATCTACATACTAGTATGTCACCCCGATATTTACACACCTCCGGAATAATTCCGTCGGGTCCTGCCGCTTTGCCTCGTCTCAAATTACAGATAGCTTTTGTGACCTCACTTACAGACGGCGGGCCAGTGTCTATGTCCCATCCAAGCTTGCCTTGTAACCGGAAGGTCATGGGTTTGAACCCCAGTGTGTGCGTACTGCCGATGATTTCCGAAAATTAGGATGAAACTGCTGTCCAGTACTCCAAGTTGGTTTTCAATGGTTTTCTAACAGATATCAATCCGTGATCACCTCGTAAAAACAAAGCTAACCCTTACAAACCAACTATAGAAAATACTGTTTCTCATCAAAAAGTGTCTCAGCAAGCTATCAGTTCGCCTTTTCATATGGAGCTAGGTATGTCAGCCGTACTCAGCGATTGCTATCCAAATGTTTCGTCAAACATTTACCTTTATAGTCTTATAAAGGAGAAAGAAACATCCCCTCGCAGCTCTAGTGGTAATAGCACAAGGTTTAAACTTAACACTGGGTCCACTTGATTATTTAAACACGCGAACAATTTTATTGTCCTTTCCAGAAGCAGACACAGTGTTGGTGGCAAACGATTCATTGAAGAAGAAAGTTATAGGCTGCATACGCTTTGTAGAGCACGTCAGTTGTTCAGGAGTAGATCGCTGCCCACCAAGCATGTGGTCCATGTTTACTTGCCAGCCGACGCACTTCTGAACCTCACCCAGCAAGTATTAGGCTTAATAAAGAGGGAAGTTTGGGCTTTAGCCTAATAACTCTACCCCATGAAAAGGTACACCACCACTTCTGAAACTCCAAAAACTTAGGCTTGAAGCCCTGAGTTTCATTTAGAACACAGAAGAAAATGGAGACGGGTTGAACACACATTCACACGGAGGAGTCCGTTGGGTGACATCACATGTAGCAAAGGTCATAGCTTGATTGGAATTCGAATAGAAAACGGCCAGGGGGGGGGGCGTGAGGCCAACGGTGACATGTAGGCGTTCGTATGACAAGGAGATCGAAGACTATGGGTAATCGTTAAGGAGACCACAGAGAATAGGATGAAGTGGAGACGTGCTGTTGAAACCGGATGTTCCACTCGGAACCCAAGCGGACAGACCCCAATGATACATTATTATTATAATTATTATTGTAAAGCAGAATCAAACACTTACCTCAACGCACACATGATGCAATCCGCCATTTTTATTATTTTCTAGAAATTTACTGATTGGACTATTCTCACCAAGTGGTTGTATTAACTAATTATGTAATTATTTACAAGATCACATGACTAACTTACTTCAATATTTGTATTGTTTAAACTAACGAAAACAGTTGTAACACCATGTTCTTTTATAGGCTAAAGCACCGAAATTATATATAATAGGCAACAACTCACCTTTGGTTCACTCACAGTGGCACACAGAACATCACGATAAAATGCAGTGGCTTTCTCTAAATCTGGTACTGCTATTGCGATATGATTCAACCGAGTAACCTTCCATGGACGCTATTCACAAGAGAAAGAAAGATTAAATTGATTTAATGGATTAGCAACTTCTCTTAGCATGTAGCAAGAATATACCATTCCAAGATAGCAGAGAGGGGATGGGTATTAGAAGATATTTCTATGAGATATAAGATAAGTTCCGTCGTCTCGCCACCCCTACTTGCATCTATCAGTTCAAGTTACATTGACCGTAGCCAGAAAACGCTCTCCACGCGGATACCAGAACATATTCCAGCTGCATGGTTTTACAAGGGAGAAAGGAAGTGTGTGCGAAGCTCCATTCTACCACACCTGATCGAATTCTGTCACCCTACCAACGCCAACCATGATTTAAAGATCAGCTACCGAATCCATGCTACCTTCCCGCATTTTCTTCGTTACAGATTTCTAAAGATAGCGGAGGCCTTGGCAATTCATGACTTTAAGCCAGACCTTTGTGTATAAAGGAAGAATGTAAAATCCCTACTTCTGCCTTGGTCGTAGGGGGATAGACATCTATTTATTTTGTTTGTTTAGTTATCCTGTGTACTTTTCCCTTATTGTCACGATTATTATTATCATTATTACTATTCTCACTGTGAACTGTTTCCGGTATTATTTCGCTTGTCCCAATTGTAATTCTAAAACAGAAATTTCTTTTTTGCAATGCTGAATTCTATCTTATCAATATTTCACATCACGTTCCGTTATGTCTTTTATTTGCCTACTAATAATCTTATAGCGTTCTCTAGTCGATCATTACCGTTCAAAAACCTGAAAGACAAGATCCCGCAGTTGATCAACTCTATGTGAGTTTATCAATTCACCTGCTTGTATCGAGCTAGGTATATTGGTCGTTCGACTCGAATTTTCTCCAAGAGGGTGCAAGAACACTGTTTTGTATGGTTACGAAGAGGTGGAAGTGGGTCTATAAGAAGCGCGATCATCGAACACCTGGTAGATACTGATCACCATATTTCTACAGCCCGATTCCTTTATAGTCATCTACAAGGCATAAAGCAACCTGTCAAAATCATTATGTAAATGAGACGTTTATCGATTTCTCTTCCTGCTACTAGGCTTTGCATATGCCTCCTGAGTAGTGATAGGGTTTTATCACCTAACTCAACATTGCTTAACAAACGATCGAGTGCTTGCCTATCCGAAAGCGAATTGAAGTACCTCTTCCTTCAATTTGTCGTAAGACGCTTCTGTGCTGGGTTGAACGACGTATTGTCGTACCTCCTGAGCGACTTTGTCTGGTAAAACTGTACACAAAATGCCGAATTAAACCATCTGTGACATGAGCTTATTTGTAGTGAAATAATGCTCCAGACGTGCAAACCAAAGATGAAGGTCTCTGGGCTTGAAAACTGGTACAGTAAGCGAAATAGTACTTAAAGCTCCCAGCTCAAAGTTATCAGAGGTATTGGAAGATATGTTACAATCAGTAAAAAAATGGTTTAAGCATAGCAAAATAGCGAAAATTATGCACACTAAAAGTATAGAAAAACAGAAAAACATGGAAAATAGATATAAGGAGATTTTGATAGCTGTTGGCTAGTTCGATTCCTATTGGTCTATCATATAAGTAAAGTGATACATTTTTATTTTGAAACGGAAATTTACACAGTTTAAATGAACAGAAAGAAGCATTACAAAATGGAGTCTTAAAGTTCAGATATGAGTGTAGTCTTATGATTAACACGACATTTGTAAGCATACATCTATTTAAAAATAATATTATTAATAAATAAAATAATCGTAATAATAATGATTTAATTTATTCCAAAAACAGTACCTGTGATGCAGAATGGAATTTTCAGCATTAATCACAATATTGCATCTAATTTCCTCAGATTACAAATAAAAATTAATCACACAAAATACTCCACATTCACAATAGGAGTAATGTCAAAAACATGCAGCACATACAATGGAAATAATAATAATAATGATAACAGCTAAGGTAATAATAATAATACAAGTGAAAATTGCCGTGGGCTTGTTTCACACAGTATTGTCGTTGCGGTTTAGAAATCATAGCATGTTTAAAAATATTGAATATAATGTTCTCTTTTCACGATATGGTAAGGGAAAAAACAAAGATTACAGCAGTCATAGAGATAAGTTGGTGTTTGCAATTATGAAAGTAAAACTTGAAGGTATATAAGGATGGATGGAGGAAATCGTCTAATTACTAGAAGAAAAAAGGTTAGTTAATTCCTGCCAGACACTATTTTCATCACATAAAATACGTGCCAAGTATGGTATCATAGAATTGTTACACTTAGACGTGCGAGCATACAGTTTTCTGAAGTTACTTCTTGTTCTACCTGAGGAGATGCAAGGTGAAAACTGAGGGTAAAGTGGATGCTCCAAGTCAGACAAAATCCCTTTAGTAAATTTATTGCACGAAGTCAAGTGCCTATCGACAACGACGTTAACCATGTGGTCCACTGAGACACCACTCACCCTACTGACAGTTTTCAGCCTTCTACGAATTGCGACATAGTCCTTTTTAAGCAAACCAGGAAAGAATAAGGGTGAACAATAAAGAAGAATAGGTGGGATGCAAGAGTTTATGAACTGTAAGAGGAGGGGGTTGAGTTATACCCGAGTGCCTTAACTTCTTAATGTAAAATGTCAGGCGGAATATTTTACTGGAGATCGCTAAGACATGGGAAGACCAGGAGAGATCAGAAGAGAGAATAAGTCGAAGATACTTAATTTCTGATTTATTTCCTATATCATTGTCGTCAATCTTACAATTGTCATGAGAATCGACGACTTCTTTCAACTGTCTTTTACATCTTAAGCTGAAATTAACAGTTTGACATTTAGAAGGATTCAGTTTAAAACCGTTAGACTCAGACCATTTACTGACTCCCGACAGAAAGCTATTTATTTTGGTACAATCTAGCTGGGAGTTAACAGCCATTGAAACTGTTAAATCATCAGCGTACTTCACAAAGTTCATTTCATCAGAGTGAGGCAAGTCATGTAAGAAGAAAAAAAAGAAAAGGAGAAAGGACAGCGCCTTGAGGGACACCAGCTTCAGTAGGCAATGAAGTGGAAGACTTCCCTTTATACACCGTGTACTGGTTTCTTTCTGAGAAATAGGAATGCAACCAGTTAACATTCTGTTTGACTTGCAGCAAGTTTATTTAATAAGATGTCTCTAGGGACCGAGTCAAAAGCAGATGTATAGTCTAGGAAAGCACAACGAACAAATTTAGCCCCCTTGTCTAGACTGGAAGCAATGTTATGATATAAGACGGCAGCCGCATCTAAAGTGCTTCTACTGTGCTTATAGGCAAATTGTTTAGGGTCATTAAAAGATTTAAGCGAAGGTACAAGACTAAGTAAAAGTAATTTCTCCATAGTTTTCAAAAAAGGAGAGGTAATAGCAATGGGTCTAAATTTGACACATGCTCCAGTAGATGATTTAGGTATAGGTACAACTTTAATGTGCCCTAATCGCATTGTTTACTCTCGCGGTTATTTAAAGCGTTTCCAACCAGCTGATTTACTAGTTTCAAACAAACTTAAGAAAAAGCTTCATGGTGGATGGCAGTGAGCTTTAAAGCGTACTCCAATGCATTTGATGACTGTTCCTGTGATTATGAGCACAAATTGCAGATCTCTGCCAAACAAGATTAATTACTTGCATTCTCTATTATGCTCAAATGTATATTGTAATACTGGTGTAGTTACTCCTCAAGAAACTTGGCTGCACGATTCATATGACGATAATTCAGTCTCCTTAAGTGGTTCCACAATGTACAGACAAGACCGATGCAGCTCAAAGGAGAAGAGAGGTGGTGGTGTTGCCACTTTTATTAATTCTCAGTGGTCTACTGCCAACAACGTCTGCTTCAAATTCTCAAATGACAATATTGATTGTATAACCGTTAATTGTCGACCTAAACACTTATCTAATTATAACTTCATTTTTGTCGCAAATATCTATGTCACACCTTGTTGCAGTCCCTCAAAACTATCGATCTTCGCTGATGAATTCACTATTTTTGCTGCTGCTTAGTTTGGTAACTTCTTCTCTGTTGTGACTGGTGGCTTCAATTCTCGCTACTACAGTTTTATTACATTGCTGGGCCATGAAAATGTTGTCAACTTCCCAACTCGACAAGATACTTCACTTGATTTAGTATTTGTAAATGATTATGGCATATACGAAGCTCGTAAAAGAGCTCCGCTCTTCAATTCTGATCACTGTATTGTACGAGTTTTACCCAAAATTTACGGAAAGTTACACAATAAAGCCTTCTCAAACTTGACTAGAAAGTTGTTCACAGATGTTACTCAAATGAGAACGTACATCATCTTAGAAACATGCTCGGTGACACAAGATGGGATCTGTTTAATGATGATTCACTTGATGACGCTATCCCTAATATTACATCTTATTCTCCCTCAAATGCCATGCTTCCCAGCATCACTAGTGTTAATAATACCCCCTTTCCAGGTTTTAACACAAATGATGTTCAAAAGTGCCTCAAGTCTCTGAACCCTTCCCAGAAGTTGGGTCCAGATTATGTACCTAGTATTATTTTTTTATATGTTCTAATATTCTGTGTCACCCTCTCACTGATCTATTTAACACAGAATATTAGAACATATAAAAAAATAATACTAGGTACATAATCTGGACCCAACTTCTGGGAAGGGTTCAGAGACTTGAGGCACTTTTGAACATCATTTGTGTTAAAACCTGGAAAGGGGGTATTATTAACACTAGTGATGCTGGGAAGCATGGCATTTGAGGGAGAATAAGATGTAATATTAGGGATAGCGTCATCAAGTGAATCATCATTAAACAGATCCCATCTTGTGTCACCGAGCATGTTTCTAAGATGATGTACGTTCTCATTTGAGTAACATCTGTGAACAACTTTCTAGTCAAGTTTGAGAAGGCTTTATTGTGTAACTTTCCGTAAATTTTGGGTAAAACTCGTACAATACAGTGATCAGAATTGAAGAGCGGAGCTCTTTTACGAGCTTCGTATATGCCATAATCATTTACAAATACTAAATCAAGTGAAGTATCTTGTCGAGTTGGGAAGTTGACAACATTTTCA